CGCATGCTGACTCTTGGGCATGATCGATTCTTGCGGACAACTTTTAGGGGCTAAGCTCCTTGTGGTCTAGGACAATCCCTCGTCCCTCCGGCATACCCAGTAGCATCTCCCTTATTGTATAATAGATAGGGCCATCCCATAGAGGTGGACAGACAGACGAACGGAGGTTTCGCCCCACTCATCATCATTCACTTTGTGGATATGCTGTGATCCTTTTTTTTTGCCAGGGCCGTAGAAGGTTAGCAAAATTTTTCCTCTGTCTAGTTGGTCCATGACTTATTAAGAAAAACATTGTAGTGTAAAACGACTCAAGGACCGACAGCTACATGAAACTGGTGCTTAGTGATGCAGCTGTGTGTCCTTGTCTCGTTTTGTGCCAGGACTTTTTCTCTAGAAGCTGCAAGACAGAAATGCGTGCCTGCTTGTGCAGCAAGAAATAGCAAATTCCACTGATAATTTTCTGATTTGCACTGCGAAAGTGAATACTGCTTTATTTTTTTGAGGCTAGGACAATTATGAGAAGTCGGCAGTGAAATAATGTTACTGTCCACTTGACGAATTTTTTCCCCATTTTTTAGACAGCACCAAGATTTCTGCATGCCTATTTAGCACACGTCATGCTTAAGTAAACCCTGACGTGTGCTGGCCTGTGTGTGGCAGCAAACTTGCCATTTAGTTCTCCCAAGAAAAACATACTTGAAATGTTGCAATAAAGCATACATTGAGTTGTCGAAATGTCCCTCTTCCAATCACATTTTTTTTCCGTACATGTGTTTCTTTAAGCGCGCTAACGCTGTGAACTGGCAAAACCATTACTAGAAGTAAGATCAGCTGCAAGCTACCAGACTTCTAGCGGAGTAATACGAATGTGTGCAATCCCCGCCTCTGTTGGCTGCTCACTGTTGATTATTCATGTCGTGGTGGCTGCTCACTGTGATGGCTGTTTACCATGGCACCTGATACTGCAAGTTTGGTCATACAGTGCCGGCTTGCCAGAATGACGACATTCGGTGATGTCAGTTGCGCTGCTTCGAGAGATCTACGCATGAACGCTAACATGTAAGCTCGAAACACTAAGGTGCAGCATAAAGCCTACATGTATGTGTCTTTTCTTCATTATTGTGCATGTGTGTGGCACTAGTTAGCGCAGCTTGCGGCCTCTAGCTGTAGCTCCTCAGGGTTATGGCAGCTTTCTTCATGTAGTCCCATCTGCCTGTTGCGTCACGATTACATTGCTACTTTTAACGATTACATTGCAGGCAGGTTCCAATGTTTCCACGAGACTACATAGTTACATAGTAACCCTTTACTGCTGGCTTTTGGAACTGCTGCACACTCTGGGCTGTTTTTCTTATGCACATTATATAAAAAATTTCACTTAGCAATGCAGTAGGATGCTGTTATGGGCATTTGAACACTTTTCTAAGGTATTATCTCATTAAAGTAGAAGTAGGAACATTACAACCAACTAATTAATGAAACATAATTAATAATAAAACTTATGAAGTATTTCATTTACTGGGACACTATTTATCCATTTTATCAGGAGTTAAAATTAGTCGAGAGCTCTCGGATTTTTTTTTTTTTCGGTTAAATAGCGCATGCGCATAGCACGCTGACGTGCCAAGGTCGCGCTGCTGAAACGTGGCCAAAGATACGCGAGCCGGCGCTGATGTGCGTGCTTGTGCCCCCTCTGTTGTGAAAAATGTCCCTACAAGCTATATTTGTTTGTATGTTCTCTTCATTACACGGTGGGACACACAGTCGTTTTTTTTGCAAGAGTTGCCTTGGGAGTGGCTGGGAGTGATTTAAAGTTGCAAAATGAGTATACTCATGATGGACAGGGCTTTTGCGTGTGTTGTTGCCCAAATTATTCGAGAATAGGCAGTGAAAGGATTAAATAGCCTCGCGTGGGTTTCTCCCTTGTCCTTCCTTAGACCCTCAGGTGGTTACAGTCTTGAAGCACTCTGTGCCATTGTTTTTCCCATTGTTCTTAAGTTCTGGTGCAGCCATTGGTGCAGCAAAAGTGAGGGTGGTGTTGGTTGTAGATGACGATGTTCGATGGTCTCAACACGACTGTGTGATGGACATGCGTTCAGTCCTTGAGGTAATGAACATGCTTATAATGAATTATCAGTCACAGCAAAGTAAACGAAGAATTGTCTTGTCACTGATACACTGCAACAAGTATGCATTTTTAATAAATTCTTTCTAATATATAACGAAGCTATTGGTGTCGCATGTCACTCCATTGAGCAAGTAAATAGGCGCCATCGCAGGCACAAAGGACAGCTCATTTAAGTTGTCATTACCGCTGAAGCTTGAATGACCATTGAGAAGGGTTCCCGTTGTTGTGACAACTGGGCCAAAGTGCCCCAAACGAAATTTCCTGCGCCAACCAGATAAAATCAATGTAAGTTGCACCAAACTGACCCAAATCGTCTATCTCAGGGGTCCGCAACCTGTGGCTCGCAGGCCGCATGCGGCTTACGGGGCAGTTTTATGTGGCTCCCGGAACGACGTCGGAAATCTTGAAATCGCTGGACACTGTAATTGTGGCAATATTTAAATAACATTAATTAACATTTGAATTACCTGAGACAGTGGTCGAGTCTAATAAGAGAATTATTTACCTTCCTGCGGACAGGCCGTTGCCGCTTTTAAAAAATTGGCCGCCAGTACTTCTGCAGAGCAATGAAATTCAACCTCATTCTGTTGCGGGATCGTAACCAAAGCTCCAATGAGCACAACTATAGCAGAAAGCTAGAGATATGTCACTGTTCACGACTGTTATTGCAGTGGTGTTAGTTCTGCCGCGGTTTACTCAAGTACGCCAACGCCATATATGTGTACTCTAATCACAAACGAAACCCGGTTGCAGCAAAGAATACCGTATTCACTCGCGTAATGAACGCACTTTTTTCCTAGAAAAAAACGGAGCAAAGTTGGGGGTATGTTTATCATGCGTGGCAGATTTTATGAAAACTTTTTCAGCATGGGTAAAAAATGCTGTAATGCAAAAAAAAAAAGTTCTTAGCTTTTTGCATACGCGTAGACTGTTTGGCAATAGGTTTTTTGTTGCACTTTACACATCTTCGGTGTATGATGGCGCTATCTTCTTCAAGTACTCCCTGCGCAGCCCGCACACGCCATAAAAGCGTTTTGCAGCCATCTTTTCTCGTAATCGTTTAACCGCAACAGTGGCACCTACTGTGATCTTGTGGGGCGCCCAGAAGCGTGCGCTAAGATGCACTTTGCCAACTTCACGGCAACCTCACACGAAGATGCTGTTGTCATTATAGCAAGTAATGATTATTGCAGCAAGCTACCCCCGAAGCATTAAAACAAGCGATCGATAACAAGGTTAATGACAAAATACGGCCGCCACCTCACTTTCATATGTGAAGTTTCTGTATGCGCGGCGAACAAGCAAGGCGAGGTATCGGGGGTGCTACCATGTTGTGTATATCTTCACAATCATTTTCTGGGTGACAAGCGATTTTTTCTCGTTTTCCAGAAACCTGAGACGCGATAGCGACGAATGACCTTTCGTGACAGCAAATCCTGTCATCGTCGCTCGAAAATAGCATGCGCGTCATTGGGCCATAAAGTTTTCTATTCGCAAGAAGTGATCGTCGGTCCACGCCGGCAGATTTGTGACCTTCGCTCACTCGCTCTTGCACGCTGTGTGCTTATCAGCTGAGATGTCTCTACACTAGAATTCGTGAACCCTGCTGTGGCGTACAGATAAAGAAGTCTGGGGACGTGCCACATACAGATAGAAAGAAAAACAATACGGCACGCGGCAATGGGCGAAGGGAGTGAGCCGAGGTAGCTGAGGGAGGTCGGCATAATAACGAAAAATCGGAAGAGATCCAAAGGGTTAGTAGGCGCTAAGCGGGACTGCAGGGGATGAATGTAGGGGGTGCGTTTATTATGCGGGGAAAAAAAATACAAGTTTTGATGACTGAAGTTGGGGGTGCATTTATTATGCGAGTGCGCTCATGCACGAGTAAATACAGTATTACACGTAGGAACAAAACCAACATGGACGCAAGCACAACATATTGTTTATTTTGTAAAATAAAAGGGTGAGAGACTGCAAAAGGCCTCAAGTACTGGTTTTATAACGACATTTTCGGGTTCCACGGACATCTTGCTGCTGTTGAAGTTAGAATCCCATATAACGACGATATCCAGGGCATCCAATGAAGTGCACACGCATGTGCACTTGATTTCATGTTAGGAGCACCACTGTCGAGCAGTAGAGAGCTCACGTTCATTTCTCGCGCTGCTTCATGCTAAGTAGAACCTCGTTATAACGAAGTGGGACATGACAAACTAATGGGTATAACGAAGCAATTGTAATTCCCTTGAAATTCTCATCGATGCCCATGTATTGAAAACCTCATTTTAACGAAGGAAAAATTTCCTCACAATGGATATAACGAACCATCCTTTGTCCACAACAAGCATGGATAATGGCTATAACGAACTAATGGTTATAATGAAGTAATTACAACTCCCGTTGATCTTTGTTATAACGAGGTTTGACGGTATACCTATGCTGAAGTGCTCCTAATAGTAAGATTACCTGCTCAAGAACTAAATTTTGATTGCTGTAAAATGCTTCTAGTAGCAAGATTACCTGCTCCAAAATGCCCCAGAACTAAAATTTTACTGCTCCAAAATGCTCTTAATTGGAAGATTACCTTCTCCAGAATGCTCTAAATGTAAAATTTTAGTGCTCCAAGATGCTCCTAATAGCACGATTACATGCTCCAAAACTAAAATTTTAGTGCTCCAAAATGCTCCAAAACTAATATTTTACTGCATCAAAGTGCTCCAAAACTAAAATTTAACTGCTCCGAAAATTGCTCCAAATCGGCAGTTCCCTGTGGGATCACTGATTAAATGACCACTAAAAAATGTATCAAGGTTTTGGTGTGAGCTTTTCTTAAATCTATCTGTGAGTTTTTGGCATAGTGTAATGGACTATAATGCAATTTTCAATTGATTTGTTTTTTTTTTCGTTTTGCCTTCAGGTACAAGACAGCTTGTTCCAGAGTTCTCCAAGTAAGGGCTTCACAATTTCTTAAACAACCTTTCGCCAAAAAATTTTGTTTTGAAATGCTTTACCCGAGTATTGTAGGGGAAAACAAAACTCACCCGTCTCACTCAAAGTATCTCTTTCATGGGGCTCACTCAGACTCAAACTTGCCTGAAATTCTGCTAAACTCATTCTGACCCATGGGTTGGTTCGAGTCTCTGTGAGTCCTCTCAACAGAAACTTTTCCTTCAGCTTGACTCTGCTTCAATATAAACGCAATTTTTTCGCATCAGTCCTGTTATTTCATGGTTTTTGGCAGGCAACTGACTCACTGTCCATATTTAGTCTGCCTAAATGCTGTCAAGTTTTGGGCATTTGTTATCTAGTGTGACTTGAAAATTCGCATATTACGCAAAATCTCCTCAGTGAAATTTTCTCAGAAGTTGTCTTCATTGGTGCTCATATTTCTAGTTAAATTCAGACTAAAATGATCACTGTGAAAGTCTGAGACCATATGCAGGCTCTTGTTTGTGTAGGTGTGCTGCACGAGTCCAACGCTGCGAATGTCTCTGGTCAGCTGGACACTCTGTTCAGTCCTGGGTAAGTTTGTGGAACACTCTACACAAGTTCACTATCTTTGAAGTTACCATAAAGGTTTCGAGGCTTTTGAAAATGGCTGCAAGCAGAAACAAAGACAAACCCTTTTAAACTAACACTAAACTTCAACTTTTGTGAAAGCAGTGATGAGGGACACATGTTCACATACTTGATAGACACAATGGGTGCTGATTTATAAATTATATTCACAGTCATCTCCGTTTCAAATATATGGTGTTGCTTTGCACTGATGTTAAATGCTGAATCAATTCGGACTGCTAAATATAGCGGAATCTTATTCATACGATTTTGCTTACTATGTTTTTCAGCCTAATTTTCTAGTCAACGCTACTCTTAACCAACCAACCTCATTGATTAATATGATTTTTGAATACTTTGAAAACCCGAACAGGTGGCTTCTGTATGGTTAAGGAAAATCTGACAAGAATTGGAGGAGGAGGGGTGTCCCTTAAAGGGCTACTCACCAGGCCCCATACCGAATTTCACTTAGACAGTGGAAGTTGTTGGGTGTCCGATGAGGAACATTTTGCCACAAAAATTTTTCGAATCCGTTCATCACGAGCAGAGAAAACAGGTTTTTTGAAGTGGCTCGAAACACGGATGAGAGGAGGCGAGCTTGAAACCCTTGCCGCTCCTCCGCGTAGCCTTCACAAGCCAAATCTCTTCCCCACCCTCTCCAGCATTCGACCATAAGGTCATGTACGCATGACAAGCACGAACAACTCCAACCCCCGAGCACGCGAGCAACGTTGCTTTGTTGACCAGCGTTACTTTGTGGTCTTCTGCCTATTTCTGCGGGATGGTTTGGAAACGCTGGCTTATACGTGGTGGAGTAGATGAGTACAATGAGTGCGCGAACGCGTAGGAGCGTTCCACAGCGGTCTTAATGCGCTGACCGTGGGGACACGAACGCATGTGAAACCCTGGTACATTAGCCCCGCATCTCGTAGCATTTCACAGGAAAAAATGAAAAAAAAAATGCGCAAAATTTTTTATTGTGTCTCAATATTTATTTCAAGTTCTATTATTCTCTTGAAGCAACAAATACATAAACTACGCATGTTGTGGTAAATAATTTTTGCCATGTCACGTGGTATACTGTTGACAACGTCAGAGCAGAGCCGTCTACGTAGAGGACCAACGTCATTGCATTGCCGTGTACGTAGGGCCATTCATCCGCCAACATCATGCCCTCATTCTCTAGGCGTGCGCCGGCAGAGAGGGAGCAGCGTTCATCTTGAAATTTGACCCATTTCCGCAGTGCGTAGCGTTGAAAATTTTGGCAGACGTGCTGATGAATGCCTCGTCTACGCATTGCGCTTGTCAGCTCAAAATTGTCAAACCTGGTGTGTGGCCCTTTAAATCGTTAATGCGCCAGCAAATACGAACCACAGAGCCCCTTGACCTGTCAGTTCTCCAAGGTACAGCTAAACAGTTGCTATTGGTCACCACTCGAAAAGACAGTAGTGGTGAAATGTCTGACATCTGTCCAAGCCAGCACATTATAAGTTGTTGCACCTCACAGGAATTAATAGGTAGGTATAGGAACGGCCCTTATTTATCACTAAGTAGTATTTATTCGGCCTTCATCTAGCTGCTCTATGCAAAATCTATGCTGGAAATGAATTTCCTGTTGATTTGCATGCAGAGGTAGCAGACGATGCTCCTTTACCAATCCCAAAGCGAAAGCAGCGCCGCCGCTGCTCGGGATATGGTAGGGGACCGCTGCGACCGCGCTCGCTTACCCAACTGACAGTATCTAAAAATGTTGATGTGGGTGTATGGAGGGACAGTGTTACACAGAGCTGCTTCGCACGAAAAAAATGAATCGATGCAAGGGTTCATTTAATCTTAAAGTAAGGTTTCGCAACATTGCGAATTTTTTGATGAATGGTTTTCACAGCTTTGCACTTCTTCACTGCAGTGAAACCATGTTTACAGGAGATTACATACAAACTAATGTACATTTAAATAGATGCTTTCACGGCTTCGCACTACTCCACTGCAGCGAAGCCACTTTTACAAAGTGGTACATGTGGATTAATATACATTTATTCGTTTGTTCCGAATACTTTGAAAATTTCAACAATTTACATTCGAATCAGAGCGAATTCAAATTCCGTAATACTTGTTCGAATATTCTCACAAGCCTACGTGTTAGGCCTGGAGTCTATTACTTGTCAAGCTCAGAGGGTATGCCCCGCCTGTATTTCAGCGTCGTTGGGGGAGCGGGGTTGCTGCGCCACTTGAGAAGCAAGTGTGAACTTTGATCATAAACGTGCTGGTGCACACTATCTTGATAGATCTAGCTAGATGGCTTGTGTGTGTGGTGGAGTGCTCTCACTGATCTTTGTTGATATGCAAGGCAGCATGAAAACCACTTCATTTCCAGGAGCGACTGCGATCTCTTGCACTAGCGTTCTGTAGTTATGCAAGGTTGGACCCAAAAGAGTTAGCTCTTAGCCTTACTTCTTGTACTATAATTGTTTCTATCGCATTCATTGCTTCACGCTTGCAGTGATACCGATCTTTTCTGCCAGCTTCATGTCACAATAGAGCTAACTTCTTGCTAACGTGGATTATATTGAAAACTAACTTCGAAATTTCATCAGCTAGGAACCTTAAGGTCTTGGGTACTCTGTATGTGGTGGAAAGCGAAGAGCTTCCTATAAATACACTAGAGGGAGCTCTGGCGCTAGTTTCTATGGGAGCTGCAACGCATGCTTCAGCCAGCATGGAAACGATGGGTAGTACACAAATTTTCCTAGCCTTCGTACTTTCGTCTCCGTTTGGTTTCGCATGGCATGAGCTGTTTTGTCACGAAACAACAATTGGCAAATGTTGAGCAGTTGCCCCCCCGCAGGGGCGCCTGCGCAAGTAGGCGTTTGGTGCGTAGCGACACCACGGACCCGAGCTAACGGGGGAGTTTCTACTCCCTCCCACACCTAGCCGTGCGTGGCTTTGCCGTGTCCGGAGAAAAGGGGATCCTGGGGGTTGAGCCGACGCTGGGTGATTGGACCGGTAAGGCCCCCCGGCAGAGGCAACACACCCCTTTGGCCCCAGCTTCACGTAGACGGCACCCCTGGGCTGACCCACCCAGGGCGAATCGGCAGTCGCCTTTTCCTATCTCTCTCTCCCTACATCTTCGTCTTTCTTACTTTTTTAGCTTTCCTGTCTACTTCTCTCTTCTGCTTACTTCCAATTTTCTCGGCGGCAAGGGTTAACCCTGTGCAAATAGCCTACCTTGGCCTAGGCGCATTGGGTTATAGCAGAGTTGTACGGCTGACGTCTGCAAGCTTTCAGCATCCGCAAACTTGCAGCGTCCCCTCGTTGGGTTCCGTGGTGGGTGGCCGCCAACCCTGCTGAACAACATACAATTAGCATGCACAAAGCATTCCCTTTACTTAGTGATCGTGCCTCCTCAAAGCGGGTACGCACCGAAGATATCAATTTTTTCATCCGGCCAAGACAAATCTTTCCTCATTTCCACGTTGTACACTGCGAAAAAACTAACAAGCAAGCCAGAACTGTATCCCCCTTCCTAGTGGCTAGGTCCTTAACCGAAACTCTCGGTGCCGGGTACAAGGTTACCAAAATGGCCAGCGGAGATCTACTCCTTGAAATACATGACAAAGACCAATTCGATAAACTGAACACCCTCACAAAGTTTGGAGACACACCCATCAGTATTACGCCACACAGGTCTATGAACTCATCTCGCGGGGTCTTATCGGACGCAGATTTGCTTGACCTGACCGAAGCTGAACTTCTGGAAGGATGGAAGAGCCAGAACGTGACAAACATACAGCGTATTAAGATAAGAAGAGATCAAAAGGAAATACCAACAAAACACTTAGTAGTGACCTTTGCTTCGAGCGATTTGCCGGAAACAATTCAGACTGGGTATACAAAGACATCTGTGAGGCCATATATTTCCAACCCCCGCCGTTGCTTCCAATGTCAGAGATATGGCCACGGCTCGCAAAGCTGTCGTGGCCAGAAAACGTGTGCTATGTGTGGAGTCGTGAGCCATGCGTCCGACAACTGCGAAGCACCGGCACACTCTGTGAACTGTGGCAGTAATCATGCCGCATACTCACGTTCCTGTTCTTTCTGGAAAAAAGGAAAAGAGATCATCACTTTAAAGATAAAAGAAAACATTACATTTAAAGAAGCAAGAAAAAGAGTTTCGCCATTTTATGGCTTCACATATGCTGATGCGGCGCATCAGGGGGCAGTGTCGCACCAGCCCTCTCCACTCCTTTGGCCTGCGCAGAGTGAGCCATTGGCTGTGGCGCCTGCCCCCAAGGCGGCAGTAGTTGAGTCTACTCTGCCTACTATCGAACAGAGACCAGAGACTCCAGGGTCCTCGGGTCTCAAGGCCACACCTCGCCAGGCGAGGCCCAAGCTTCGAAAAACCAGCTCGCATGAGCGGGCATCCAGTGCCTCCGAGGAAGCAATGGATACGGCGGCACCCCTGGTGCCAAAAGAGCGGCGCGGCTCTCTGGAGCGCGCCAAGAGAACTAAAAAGCTCATAACAGGCCTGATAATAGCCCTGTTACTTGAGCTCGACCTTTCAGCTTAAACAAGTCACTCCCTTAACGTACACACAGCACTACTTTACTTCCAATATGGAAACACAAATTATACATTGGAACGTCAGAGGCCTGCTTAAAAACCTCGACGACGTCCAAGAGCTTTTATACAAACACTCACCTCAAGTGCTGTGTGTACAGGAAACACACCTAAAATTCTCCAATACAAATTTTATACCTGCTTACGTCATATACCGAAAGGACCGAGATGATGCTGTGGCGTCATCCGGTGGCGTAGCCATTATTATTAACCAAGGAGTAGCGTGTACACATTTACCACTCCAGACATCCCTTGAGGCGGTGGCTGTTTGGGCGGTACTTTTAAAGAAACTCGTCACCATCTGCTCTTTGTATGTACCTCCCCACCAACGTCTTGAAAGACGTGAATTCCAGTCTTTAATAGACGAACTGCCTGAACCTTATTTGCTTCTTGGGGACCTAAATGCACATAGTGGACTGTGGGGCGATTCTCGCTCTGATGCACGAGGTCGTCTCATTGAACAATTTCTCTTCTCTTCCGGTGCCTGTTTGTTGAATAGGAAAGAGCCAACATACTATAACGTTGCCAACAAAACTTACTCGTCTATAGACCTCAGCATCGTATCACCTTCACTCCTACCCCTACTGAAATGGAAAATCATATAAAATCTATATGGAAGTGACCATTTTCCTGTAGTGTTGAGTTCACAAACAACATATGAATGTCCTCTACATGTTCCCAAATGGCTGATAAACAAAGCAGACTGGAACAGTTCCACAACACTACACGTTTGAGTTGGACAGACATATGTAGGTTAAACATAGATGAAGCTGTGCAGTACTTCACAGCTTTTCTAACTGACGCAGCAGCCAGGTGCATACCGCAAACATCTGGAATGCCCGGCAAACGACACGTCTCATGGTGGAACACAGAGTGTCGTAATGCGCGAAAGGAACAGAACAGGGCATGGAGATTGCTTCGTAACTCACCAACAGCCGAAAATCTTGACACCTTCAAGAAAATAAAGTCTCAAGGAAGGAGAACGCGTCGGCAAGCCAGAAGAGAAAGCTGGCAGAAGTTTTTGTCAGAGATCAATTCATACACACAGGAGGCTAAAGTCTGGAACATGGTCGGTAGGATAGCAGGGAAACAAGTACACACACTTCCACTCGTAAACACTCAGGGTGATACCTTGGAAGATCAGGCAAACTTCCTCGGGGCACATTTTGAACGGGTATCCAGCTCGTCCCACTATACTGACACTTTCCAAAAATACAGAACAAGAATAGAAAAGCAGAAACTCGAACACAAATCCACTAGATACGAGGCATATAACCAAGCTTTCAGTCTAGCGGAGCTCGGAACATCTTTAAACTCCTGCAGTACTTCTGCCCCAGGTTCTGACCGTGTGGTGTATGAAATGTTAAAAAACCTACCAGCCGAAACACGAAAAATCTTACTTTGTACAATGCTATTTGGTTTTCTGGCACTATTCCTACCTCCTGGAAAGAGGCTATTATTATTCCCATTTTGAAAGAGGGCAAGGACCCTTCTTTAGCTTCAAGTTATAGGCCTATTGCACTTACAAGCTGCTTGTGCAAAGTATTCGAAAAAATGATAAACTGCCGACTTGTACATATTCTTGAAACAAACAATTTGCTTGACCCATTTCAGTGCGGGTTTCAAGAAAGTAGATCCACCACAGACAACCTTGTTCGTATCGAGGCACAGATAAGAGACGCCTTCGTCCATAAACAATATTTTCTCTCTGTGTTCCTCGATATCGAAAAGGCTTATGATACAACATGGCGTTTCGGAATTCTAAGAGACCTGTCCCACCTTGGTGTGCGCAGAAGAATGTTTCATATAATCGAAAGTTACCTGTCAAACCGGACATTCCGTGTCCGTCTGGGCAGTGTGCTCTCCCAAACATTTGTCCAGGAAACAGGCGTGCCACAAGGTGGTGTGCTTAGTTGCACACTTTTTATTATCAAAATGAATTCTTTGCACTTGTTCATTCCCCGCAATATGTTCTATTGTACATATGTCGACGACGTTCAGCTTGGCTTCAAGTCATGCAACTTGGCCATGTGTGAGCGGCAGGTTCAGCTGGGTTTAAATAAGGTCTCCAAATGGGCAGATGAAAACGGATTTCGACTTAACCCACAAAAAAGCACGTGTGTCTTGTTCTCTCGAAAGAGAGGCATGCACTCGGAACCTGACATTCGACTGAACGGGCAACGTCTGTCCGTCAAAGTCGAGCATAAATTCTTAGGCTTAATCTTGGACAACAAGTTGACCTTCGTACCGTACATCAAGTATTTAAAAACAAAATGTTTAAAAGCCATGAATGTTATAAAAGTGTTGTCACGTACTACTTGGGGTAGTGATAGGCAATGCCTCATGAATCTGTATCGAAGCCTCATTCGCACCCGCTTAGATTATGGGGCCGTTGTTTATCAGTCTGCAACTCAAAGTGCTTTGAAGATGCTGGACCTCGTGCACCATTTGGGCATTCGCCTTTCTACGGGTGCTTTTCGCACCAGCCATGTAGAAAAAATGAATGGTCGCTTCATCTACATAGAACTTACATGTCCTTTGTATATTTTCTTAAGGTGAAAGCAGACAAGAAGCACCCCTCGTACTCTACTATTAATGATCTGTCGAGCTCCATTCTGTTTCAAAACAGGCCTTCGATGAGGCAGCCCTTCTCAGTTCGCCTGAAGTGTCTAGCTGAAAAAACTGAAGTGTCACTTGAACACAGTTTAATGGCTCCTGTAGCATACCCGCCACCGTGGCAGTGGCAGACTATAGACTGCGATGTGTCTTTCCTAGAAGTTACAAAACATGCACCTATTGCCCATATCCGAACATACTTTCTGGAACTTCAACACAAATACACACGTTCTGAGTTCTTCACAGATGCCTCCAAGACTAACTCCTCTGTGTCCTACGCTGCTGTCGGCCCATCCTTTTCGGATGCTGGCCCTCTACATCCAGGCACAAGTATCTTCACAGCGGAAGCTTACGCGATACTTGTGCCAGCTAAACACATCAAACAATTACAAATACAAAAAGCAATAATTTATACAGACTCCCTCAGTGTGGTAACAGCTCTGCACAGTCTTAAAAAACAAAAAAACCCGGTCCTTGTCTCAGTTTACTCCATTTTGTGCACACTCTACACACTTAAACAACATGTTGTAGTGTGCTGGGTGCCAGAGCACCGTGAGATCCAAGGCAACGTGAGGGCGGATCAGCTCGCTGCATCCGTCCACGAAAGCACTGCCCCTACACCCATATTAATCCCGGCCCTTGATCTTAAGCCGTCTCTCAAACGAAACCTCAGGGACTACTGGCAGAGCAAGTGGGATACACACACACAAAACAAACTACACGTTATCAAGCCACACCTTGGCCATTGGCCACCAGTATCAAAATCACGTCTAACAGAGGTAACACTAACAAGACTCAGGATAGGACACACATACATGACACACACACATCTTTTGTCCGGTGGTGATCCACCATTGTGTGATAAATGTGGTGAGGCATTAACAGTTCTTCACGTCTTAATTCAATGTAAACAGTTAGACACTCTAAGAAGACAACACTTTCCATTACCCTACCGACAACATATACCTTTACACCCTGCAATGTTCGTTGGTAGGGAACCGCTTTTTAGTAATAAATCATTGTTAGCGTTTTTTAAAGAAACTCATAATTTTCATATCATATAATCGGGCATTCCGTAGCACAACCTCTCCAGAAAGGTTTTTGCTGCGGTGGCTACACAGGAAAGCACTTGCCTCACGGCCCTTGGACGCAAGGGTATGAACGAGTGAGGTACTTGTGCTAATGCCATACATGTCCACCATCGTTTTTCATTATCACCAACTTTTGTCACCTATTCACACCACCCACACCTTTCACGGCATGGTCATGATTTTATTACTTGTATGTTTTTACCCGCCTTACTGCGAGGAATTTTATGGCCCTTATACAGCCGCTAATCACAATGATTGTCCACATTCTTTGTCCCATGAACTGGCGCTCTTTGGCCATCAAATGGCCCTTGCGCCAAAAAACACCCTATATCATCATTGAGCAGTTGCGCTTCACCACCTTAACCTTCTGGGCTCAACAGTCGTAAAGTTCACAGTGGCGTGTTCTCTTATTCGAAACAAAACCGAACCAAAACACAGCAATAAACCAAGTCACAAGTGCGTTCAAAATCTCATTTCCATGGAGACTGAACTATTGCAATGCCAGAGTCCTCTGTAGTTTAGGAAACTATGGTGGAAAGATCTGAACGACGGCTAGATATGAGAGAGGGCTCGAAATGCTAGTGAAAATTCAGTGTTTACTGCTGTGCAGTAAACGCTGCATTAACCAAGCCACAAGTGCAGTGGTTACTGTGGTGTTTACTATGGCGTATCTGTAGTGTTTATAGTTGATGTCCTCTTTGCGCGTGTTTTTTTGCACAGTGACCTGACACAGTCGCCCGGCGGCCACCCTGAAGAAACGTGGGTCACTGTTTTCGGGTGCGTATCTTTGCAACACAGGTTGCGCCTCTCCGGGCTTGCATGCTTTGGCTTGCTCGAGGCTTGCCTCCGTGCATTGCTGGGGACAAGTGGCATGCTACTATCATTTCTCTAGTTGTCGTACAGCTGTGGATGCACCAAAAAAGAAGCCATTAGGTTTCGGTATTTTAGGCTGAAAGGCAAACAAATAAACAAACTACGAGAAAATCGACCCTGATTAGAATGCATTACATTCGACTTTCGGTAAACGAAAATCTTTTGAATAGAACCGCTGCCTAATTGAAACAAAATCTTCTGACAAGATTGCTTTCATTTCTCGTATTCTTCACCCCCTGTCGTCTCAGAAAGCGGAACTCCCGTTAAAACGGAACGAATTTGCCTGCTCCCTTCTGGTTCTGTTTAATGAGAATCTACTGTATTTTGTTTCTGCTTTCTCTCTCAATTTTTTTGTGTCTGATATGAGCATAACTTCAGCACATACACTTGGGGCCTGCACTATGCTTGAAAAGGGAATGAACAGTGGTGTATCAACGAGATGCATTCTACTGAATAGTCGCTTGGTTTGCTTATTCATAATACTTTGATGCTCGTGTAGTAGAACTACATTCTTATTGAACCTCCACTCCCTTCATGCACTCTGGACAGAGTTGTGTGTGCCTCGGTGGCCTACCAAAATTAGAAGTACTGGAATGTATTATCGTTTAACACAATGCATATATTAAGAAGAACTTTTTTTTGGAATGCATTATCAATTAACATGATGCATACATTTTGAATAGCTTCATTTTAGACCTTTGCTGTAATCATATTCCAAAAAACGTCATCCCCAGTGTGAGGTCAGTATGTTTTTTGGCACTGGTACACGCTGGAGAAACTTGTACTTGGCTGGGCACACTAGGAAATAGCTGTTTTGCACTGGTAGGGGCGCTGGCTTAATCACTGTGATGCTGGTGCACACTGGGAAGCGCTGAAATTTTCACTGGCAAGCGCTGGTGAGTAATGAAGCACGCACTGTTTCTACCAGTGCAGCGTGCACATTTATGCAGCATGTGCCGTGGTATGTATCAGTATTGTTGAATATAAAACACTTGATTCAACGGCACGGAAAGATGCTGCCCTAACATATCCCGAGCATACATAATTTTTGCGGTGAACGTACGTATCGCAGCAATTAATGCACCTTTTTCGCATGACCCGCGTATACCCGCCATATTCGCATCAGTTGTGTATTGCTGTAATGATTTCATGTTGCAGCGTTTATAAGCCTGGAGCTGGACGCCATTCCTAACAGAAACAGAAAATTGTTTATGCTGCCAAGTTAACGAAACATAAATGGGCTCTCTCGATTGCTTCGCAAGGTTTCCCAGTGCAGGTGAGAGAAGCAGCTGTCATTTGATTCCGCCACACCGCGTAAATAGATGTCAGGCCATGCTTATCCTTCTACTCACTTCAGGTAACAGTTAGAAATGTTCCGAAGCTTCAATGCAGAAACTTCAACTTTCCTAACTTATGGTATCCAGTGCGGTCTACCCAGTGCCCGGCCCAGCGAGCATTAGGCCTACCGTGCCGGCCGCGTCAATGTATGTTACCGGGGCTTCTTGCTCCGTGTACACACAATTTTAAATTGTGAGAATAACTGTAAAGTATTGTTTAGACATCCATGAACATAAATAAACTATTTTCCTGTGTGTCAATGTCCGCACAAGGAGCGCTGACGATCGATGTGTTGTGCTTTCAGCTACGCAGGCTGTTACCGAAAGCTGCTGGCTGCGGTTAGCCGGTACTCCTCTGATATTTAAGAACACGCCATTACCAGTTGGCAATTTGGTATGCCTTTGTGAACTGATTTCCTGACTTACATTTTCAGCGGATCGCATTAGTATTTCATTGGGCATTTCTTTTGTTGTTGGTATTGATATAACTGCAAATTTGTACACTGGCACGCCCGCTGTATATTGCCAGCGAAGGCCAGAAAAACAGCTGTCCTTCAATATCGCCACTCCGGAAATGCATGACTGGCAATGATTGACCTTCTACTTACTTCAGGTACAGTTTAGGTAACACTTAGAATTTTGCGAAGCTCAAATGCAGAAACTTTAAGCTTCGCAATTCGGTTGCGTCGAGAGCGGCCTCGCCCAGTGCCCCGTCCCAGCGAGCATTAGGCTTATCGTGCCAGCTGCGTCTGTGTACATGCTACCGGTGCTTTTTGCTTTGAGTTTGCACAAATCTAAAGTGTAAAAACGACTGTAAAGTACAGTTTAGACATCTTTGAGCCTAAATCAACCAATTCATCGCGTGTGCGGTGCACGTACAACAAGCGACGACGATCGATGTGTCGTGCTTTCAGCAATGCAGGTTGTTACCGAGCCGACTAGTATGTAAGAACACACAATTTTGGGTTGGTAATTTGGTACGCCTTAGTGAACTAACATGCTGGCATACTTTTTCAGCGCATAATGAATAAACTTTATTTTCGTATCCGGCATGTTTGTGGTCCGGGCTAGACCGCGCAAGGAGGTACCAGGAGACCTTGTCTCTGTACAACCTCCCTTGCCTGCTGGATAGCCCATTTTCGGTCTTGAATCTCCGAGCTGAGCAGCACAAGTCGCCACTGCTCCCGGAGGACCTCAGGAGAACTTGTCGATAAGCTGGGGCATTCCCATAATATATGTTTGTAAGACGCCTTTTCTGCTACACATAGCTTACATTTATTGTCCGGGTATAAGTTTGGGTAACTCCTGTGGAGGTGCACAGGGTTCGGGTAGCAGTTCGTCTGTAGCTGTCGGTATTCCGATGCTTCTTGCATGTTTAGACTCGGATGAGGAGCGGGAAGGACGCGCCTTGCTTCTCTGTAGTGTTGCATGTATTCTGTGTAGCTTGTAAATCGGTCTTTGTGTGGTACGTCGGCGGCGCTGGGGATGATCATCGAGCGGTGTGGTCGGGTTGCGCGGCGGGTCGATTCTTGCGACAACTCATGAGCCAGCTCGTTGAGACTGGGTGTATCAGTCTCTGTGTGCGCCGGGAACCATACGAGGTATTTCGGTTCATCTACTTTGTGTAGTTCTTGGTTACTAACGAGGATTCTGAGGGGTTGCTGTGAAATCCGTCCTTGCGTAAAATTTCTGATTGCTACTTGCGAATCGCTCAGTATGAATGAGTGTTTGTTGGAGGTGATAGCCATGGCTATGGCTGCCTCCTCAGCCTCCTCTATATTGTTTGTTATGACAGAGCACGCATTAATACAAATGCCGGACGTGTCAATCACGACAGCAGTGTGAGCTTTTCGTTCAGGGTATGGGCTAGCATCTACAAAAAGAGATTTACTGTTCCTGCCGTGTGCTTTGAGCAGTGCTTTTGCTCAGTGTTTTCTGCGGTCCGTGTTGATAATGGGGTTCATGTTTTTCGGTATCGGGTTAGAAATGATCTTAGCTCTGATTGTATTAGGGATGTCATTTTTGACACCATGTTGTGCATGGTACATGATCCCTAATCTACTCATTATATTTCTTCCCGTTTTAGTTTTACTGAGCCTTTCAAGCTGGGATATCCGCTGAGCTTCTATAATCTCTTCAAGCGTATTGTATGGTCCTAGCTGAAAAAAAAGGTCTGTGCTAGCATACTCAGGTATTCCTATCGCTTGTTTGTAGACCTTCCGGATGAGTGCATTTATTTTGTTAGTTTCAGCTTTTTGCCAGTTGTGGTATGCTGCTACATACTTTATGTGACTTATAACGAAGGCCTGAATTAGACGAATTATGTGGGCTTCTTTCATACCTTGGTGTTTATTCGTGACCCTTCGAATTAATTAGTCTCATCGCATTTGGGACTTTGGTGCTTAGTCTGCGTATAGTCTAGCCGTTGGCACCGTTAGCCTTGATGACTAATCCCAGTACTCGTATTTTTGGAACTGTCGGTATAGCTGTGCCCTCCTGCGTATGAATCCTAATTTCCTCATATTGCCGCTTGTTTTCCTCTGACTTGCGTGGTCTGCCCCTTATTGCTGGCCTGTAGAGAAGTAGTTCTGATTTCTCCGGGGAGCATGTGAGTCCTGTGCCTTCCAAGTATCGCTCAGCTGTTCCTATTGCTTCTTGGAGTCTCTGTTCTATGTAGCCGTCGCTGCCATCACTCACCCATATTGTGATGTCATCCGCGTAGAGAGAGTGATATAATCCCGGGATTTTATTTAACTGTTTCGGTAGTCCAATCATGATTAGATTAAAGAGCATTGGCGTTATTACGAAGCCCTGTGGAGTGCCTCTGCAGCCCAATTCTTGGAGATCAGATGTAAGGCCTCCTAAGCTGAGCCTTGCTTTCCTGTTGGTCAAGAAGTTTCTGACGTGATTATAGGCTCGCTCACCCATGTTTAAGCTCGATATGCGGCTGAGAATTGTTTCATGAGCTGCATTGTCAAATGCTTTCTTGAGATCCAGACCGAGTATGGCTCGTGTGGATCTTGTGGGGTAGTCTATGATTTGGTGTTTAATCTGTAGCATGGCGTCTTGAGTGGCTGGGTGACGACGGAAGCCTATCATCGTGTGTGGTAGTACTCACCATTCTCAAGATAGTTGTTGGCTCTATTTAAAAATGCATGTTCCACTACTTTTGCTACGCATGACGTTAATGAGATGGGTCGGAGATTTACTTTGTTGATTGGCTTTCCAGGTTTTGATATAAGGATTGTTCTAGCCTCTTTCCACGCGTCGGGTATTTCCCCTTCTGTCCAACATTTGCTTATATATCCAGTTAAAAATTCTATGGATTCACTGTCCAGGTTACGTGAAGCTCGGTTGGTGACTCCATCGGGTCCCGGTGCTGAATTTACATTTAATTTGTGGAGCACCGCTCTAATCTCTGCTACCTCAAAGTTTTTGTCCATGTTGGGGTTGGCTTCGCCTGTATAGTTTTTATGTTGTAGTGGCGGCGATTTTGGCATGTAGATGTTTTGTAGATCTGTCATTAGCTGTTCCTCGTTTCCTTCGTATTCGCGTGTGAGACGTTGG